AGCACACTCCCTTGTGCTGTCCGAACTTCTCTGGAAAATTGGGATGGTCCTAACTGAGACCATTAATATCACTGAGAAAGTGACATTAAGGACTCCCCAGGGATAGCCACCATGACAGGTGATCTACACTGGGAAATTTATCCCCCACCATGCCTTAGAGGTTCATGGAGCAGGAGTGTGGAGGCAGTGTGCGGTTATAACAGAAATACCCTCTTGATCTAGGCCCCACTGCCACTCCAACTGGTTTTGTTGGCATGGTTGTGGTTGTTATAAAAGCTAGTGTCAATTACACTTACTCACACTCTAGAACTTGGCATTTTACAGAGGATTTCTTCCTAATTGGTGGAAATTCAGACTAAATAAAGATTTAAAATCCTCTGCATTTGAAGAGAAAGAGTCCTTCAAATAACCCTTTAGGTCTTAGATCCTATCTTCTACCATGTCCCTCTGTTTTAAACCATGTTCAGGTTTATTTCTCAGACAGCATAAAGTTAGATCAGTAGTGACAGCAAGAATATTTAACAATCACACACATGTATGCATCTAACAACAGACCATTACAATATATGAAGCAAAACTGACAGAACTGAAGGGAGAAACAGAGAGTTCTATGATAATAGTTGAAGACGTCAATGACCCACTCTCAGTAATGGATGTAAAACAAGACAGGAGATAAATGAAATGAAGACTTGAACAACACAGTAAGTCAAAGAGATCTAACAGATGAACACAGAACATTCTACCCAACAACAGCACATTCTCTAGTACATGTGGGACATTTTCTAGAGTCAACCATATGTGAGGTCACAACTACATCTCAATAGATTTTTAAAAATAGAGATCATACAAAATACTTCTTTGACCATAACAGGATGAAGTTAGAAATAATTAACAGAGGTAAAATCAGAAAATTCACAAATTGATGGAAACTCAACAACATATTCTTACACAACCAGTGGATCAAAGAAGGAATTAGAAAATACTCTGGGGTGCCTGGGTGGCTCAGTGGGTTAAGCCTCTGCCTTCTGCTCAGGTCATGGTCTCAGGGTCCTGGGATCGAGCCCCGCATTGGGCTCTCTGCTCGGCGGGGAGCCTGCTTCCTCCCTCTCTCTGCCTGTCTCTCTGCCTACTTGTGATCTCTGTCTGTCAAATAAATAAATAAAATTAAAAAAAAACTGACAAAACTTGACCTAGATGGGAGCTAAACAAACAAACAAAAAGAAAGAAAACTGAAATTACCAAAATCGGAAATGAAAGTGAGAGCATTACTATTGACTCCATAGGATCAGAATGATTTACAAGAAACTGCTGTAAACAGCTGTACACCAACAAAGTGGGTAATGGTGAAATGGGCAAATTCCTAGACACTAGCAAGACTGAATCAAGAAAAAGAAAGTCTTGGGGGCTCTTGGGTGGCTCATTTAAGTATTTGACTCTTGATTTTGGCTCAGGTCATGAACTCGGGGTTGTGAGACTGAGTCCCACATTGGCCTCTGCACTCAGCAGAGAGTCTGCTTGGGATTCCCTCTCTCCCTTCCCCTCTGCCCCTCCCCCCCAACATGTTCTCTCTCTTTCTCAGAAGAAGAACAAGAAGAAGAAGAAGAAGAGAAAGGGGAAGGGAGAGGGGAGGGGGAGGGGGGGAGGGGAGAAGTCTGAACAGACTGATAACAAATAAGGAGACTGAATCAGTAACCAAAAATATCCTGATGAGAAAAGATTATAAGCAGATGGCTTCCCAGATTAATTATATCAAACATTTAAAGAAAAATGAATACCAATCCTTCCTATACTCTTCCAGACGAGATCGGGCGTGTTCAGGGTGGTATGGCCGTAGACTTCCTATAGTCTTCCAAAACTCACAGAAAGAAGCAACATTTCCAGACTCCTTGTATGAGGCCAGTATCATCATCCTGATACCAAAACCAAACAAATCACTGCAAGAGAAGAAAACTAGTCCTCTATTCCTTATGAACATTGATGCAAAAAAATCCTCAACAAAATGCTAATCAACTGAATTCAGCAAAATAGCAAAAGGATCACACACTATGATCAAGTGGGATTTATTCCTGGGATGCAAACATGTTTCAATGGAAAAAATTGATCAATGAAACACACTACATTAATAGAATGAAGAAGGAAAAAAAATGGTCATTTCAGTTGATGCAGGAAAAGTATTTGGCAAAATCCCAACACTCTTTCATGGTCAAAAACACCCAACAAACTAGGAAAAGAAGCAAACTACCTCAACATAATAAAAGCCATGTATGAAAAATCCACATTGTGCTCAACTGTGAAAGACTAAGGCCTTTTCCTCTAAGGTCAGGAATGAGGCAAGGATACTCACTTGTGCTTTTTCTATTGAACATAGCTTTGGAAGTTCTGACAGAGTAATTAGGCAAGAAAAATGAATAAAAGTCATCCAGATTGTAAAGGAAGAAGTAAAATTATCTCTGTTTGAAGATGATATGGTCTTACATGTAGAAAAACCTAAAGATTCCACCAAAAAAAGTTAGAACTAATAAATGAATTCAGCAAAGTAGCAAGATACAAAGCCAACACACAAAAATCAGTTGCATTTCCATATATTAACAATGAACAATCTGGAAAGGAATTTATGAAAACAATTCCACTGACAATAAAATTTTTTTAAAAAGGTAAAATACTTAGGAATTAATTTAATCAAAGAGATATAAGATTTGTGCCATGAAAAGTACAAAACATTGCTGAGAGAAATGAGACACAAATAAATGAAAAGACAGCCCATGTTCATGGATTGGAAGGCTTAATATTGTTAAGATGTCCATACTACTCAAAGTGATCTACTGATTCAATACAATGTCTATCAAAATCCCAGAGATATTTTTTTGCAGAAATAGAAAAACCCATCCTAAAATTTATACAGAATCTTGTGGGATCTCATGGGAATAGGAAAAACAATCTTGAAAAAGAAGAACTGGAGGACCCACATTTCTGGTTCCAAAACTTACTACAAAGCCACAGTAATTGAAAGACAGTGATGCTGGAGCACCTGGGTGGCTCAGTCATTTAAGCATCAGACCTTTGGTTTCCACTCAGGCATGATCTCAGGGTCCTAGGATTGAACCCTGTGTTGGACTCCATACTCAGCAAGGAGTCTGCTTGAGATTTTCTCTCTCTCTCTCCTTCCCTCTGTCCCTACCCTCTGCACACACACACACACACACACACTCACTCTCTCTCTCTCTTTCTAAAATAAACAAATAAATCTTAAAAAAAAAAAACCACAGTGATGCTGACATGAAGTCAGGCATACAAATGAATGGAGTAAAATAGAGTCTAGAAATAAACCCTCATATGTGTGGCCAAATGATTGTCAACAAAGGGGTCAAGGCCATTCAATGGGGGAAAGGACAGTCTTTTCAATAAACAATGCTGGAAAAACAGGATGTCCACATGCAAAGGAATTAAGTTGGTCCCTTACCTAACAGCATATACAAAAACAAACTCAAAATAGATCAAAGACCTAAATATAGGCTGTGAACCTATAAAACTCATAGAAGGAAACAGGGCAAAAGCTTCACAACATTGTATTCAGCAATGATTTTTTTGGATCTGACCCAAAAGGAACAAGCAACAAAAGAAAAAATAGGTGGGACATCAAGAAAATTAAAGTTTTGTGCATCAAGGGTGACTGGGTGGCTCAGTCTGTTGAGCCTCTGTCTTCATCTCAGGTCGTGATCCCAGGGTCCTGGGATCCAGTCCCGTGTTGGGCTCCCTGATCAGTGGGGAGCCTAATTCTCCCTCTCCCCCATCCCTCTCCCCCTGCTACTCCCCACTCTGGTGCTCACTCCCTCTCTTGCGCTCACTCTCCCTCTCTCTCTCAGATAAATAAATCAAATCTTTTTTTAAAAAATTAAGTTCTGTGCATCAAAGATGCTATCAACAGAGTAAAAAGGCTGCCTACAGAATGAGATAATTTTCAAATTATATATCTGACAAGGGATTAATATCCATATTATATAAACAACTAAAACTCAACAACAACGACAAAAAAAAAACTCAGTTCAAAACTGGACAGAGGACTTGAACAGACATGTTTTCAAAGAAGACACGCAGCTGGACACCAAGCACGTGAAAAGATGCTAGCCATCACTCATTGCTGGGGAAATGCCAATCAAAATTACAATGATATACCACATCTGTTAGGAGGGCTACGGTCAAAACAAATAAACAAAAAACATAAAACAAGTGTTGGGGAGCGCATGGGGATATTGGAAGCCTTGTGCCCTGCTGGTGGGAATGTAAAATGGTACAGCTGTTGCTGAAAACAGGATGGTAATTCCTCAAAAGCTTAAAAATAGATTTATCTAATGATTCAGCAACTCCACTTCTGGGTATATATCTAGAAGAATTGAAATCAGGCTTTCAAAGAGACATTTACACACCATGTTCATGGCAACATATTCACAGTAGCTAAAACACAAAAACCAACCAAGCGTCCATCGGTGGATGAAAGGATGAGCATAGTGGGATAGATCCTCGAAATGGAATACTATTCAGCCTTCAAAAGGGAAGAGTGTTCTTTAATATAGGATCGCAGGCACGTAGCAGGCATGGCTTAAATAATGTTTTTTCTTCTCTCTGAAGTTATTTTAAACTATATTGATATCTCTTAATATTAAAAATAAAGTTTATCTAAGAGTCCAGAGCGACGTGTCACTGGTTCTGGAACTGTGGGCAAGCCTCTGCTTTCTGAGCCTCAGGGTCCTTGTCCATGACACAAGGGAGACTCCATCTTCAGGGCCTTTGTATTCTGATCCCTCCTCCAGTTCTCCCCATGCCGCAGCGATTCCAGACACTTCCATGGAGCTGTAATTTATAAACTTTGTAGGTACCATCCTATGAGGGTCAAGTCTTTTCCTGGAGCCACACGGGACTGAGCTCCTGCCCTCCACACACTGCTGGAAGGAAGCAGAGAAGAGAGGAAGGATGTGACAAGAGCCTGTGGGATGGAGCGTTCCCTACAGGTCCCCACTGGAATCCCACTCCCACTCATCCTCAACAAAGCCAACCACGCTGATGGCACCCAGCTGCCTTATTGGTGACCGTCGAGGGGAGCAGCCTGAGGAGGACATCAGTGAGGGCTGAGGGCCCTGGCCCTGGCATTCTGTGGCCCACAGAGACCTCCAGATGATGGGGCTGGTGACACAGGATTATGTCTTCTTAATCACACTGTACTGTGTCTCCTTGTCCAGGGTCCTCTGGGAGCGAATGCTGTTGGCCTCAGAACCCCCACTCTGGAAGCCAAATACCACGGTCGAGTAGTGAGGTTCTTCCCTGGGAGTCTTCTGCAGAGAGAGAGACGGGTAGCTCAGAGAGAGAAGCATGGGCTCCCAGCTCAGGATGGAGACAGGGGATACCCAAGGGGGAGGGGACTTATGGCAGGGGGCCTTCATCGGGGGGGTCCAGACTTCTTCACTGTCCTGTCCACACCCCTGCTTCACCCCACCTGTGAAAACACAGCACAAAGTCCCAGGCATCAGACCCAGATGTTGACAAGGGGCTTGGCGGGGCAGGGGTGGGGAGTGCCTGGGATCTACTTTGAGATCATTAATCCCCAAATTAGAAAAACAAGGAACTCTTGTTCTCCCCGAACTCTTTCACTAGCAGGTGGGTCTTGACCCTGGGGTTGCGGGGTGGGGGGACCTCTTCCACGTTTCACTTTACAGTCTCTGTGCCTAAGTGTTGACCGACAAGGGGGGTCATTGATTCAAAACCTGAAAAGCAGAGTTGATACCAAAAAGATGATGGTACCCCAAACAGCAGGAAATCTCAGGCTTGCACATTGGTGTGTGGTACAGTAGGTGCTTAATAAATGCTATGCTTTACTGAGTATTGACTATCACTGACCTCCCTGAAAGCCCCTTCCTCTTCCACCACAGCCCCCAGCTACAATGACGCCAAGCTCTGGCTGAATCGACACTTGCCCTACATTGTGTGTGGCCCTGTGCTGGAGAAATTACCAAGCCAGCCCCTCTCATTCCCCTCTCCACCTGCTGCGACCCCCCAGAATGGTACCCCTAGCATAGCCCAGGAACCCCGTGTGGGAACCAGGCCCTGACACTCACCACTGTGCTGTATTCCACCTCTGGCTGCCTCGGATGCATGGGCTCTTCCCGAAGGGGCCACGTCTGCAGCTCCAGATTCTCATAGTGGGGCTCCTCTTGCTGAGATGGGGGGGTTTGGTGGGTTTCCACAGAGCCCCTCCACGGTCTAGCCCAGAGGGATCTCTCTTCCTTCCTGGGTGCAGATATCTCCCTGTTCCCTCGATGTCCTGGATACCCCAGCCTCTCTCCTCCAGCCCCAACTCTGGTCATCTCCGGGCAGTATTGGAATGCCCCCCAGGTCAGCAACCAAGGACCCTCCCCCATTCCACTTTGTATGGGGACAGATTGGCCAGGGCTCAAGACAAGACCCAGTGACCAGATCTCCCAAGGACCACTCTCCCTGCTCTGGGCGAGCACCCCACTCCATCCCCTGATGATGCACTCAGACCTCCAGGGGCCAGTGGGATTGCTCAGGCCGCAAACATCCTCTGTTCTCCCCGCCAGCCACTCCCGTACACCCCCAGCCTGTCTTACCTGACCGGGGAACCGTGGTTGCTTTGGATTCTCGCCAGCTAAAGAGACAGGAGAAGAGTTAGAAGTTTGAATCCCAGAACGCAGCAGGAATGGGACTCCCTATGATCCCGTTCCCCAGAGAATCTGGCCCTAGGGACTTGTTGCCTCCGATCTGCCACAGGGCAGGAGTTCAAGGCTTTGCCTCGAGGGTGAATTCGTGAAGAAGGAAGAGGAGAATGGATGAGCGAGTGGAGGCCTGAAGAACGGAGCCAACAGGAAGGCGCTCTGGCTTGGGAAGAGTGGCCAAACCAAAGCTAGTTCTCGAAACAGCCACTCAAAGATTGTTCCCCGGCAGAAGAAGACAGGAAAGGGATACCCTTTTAGGAGGACCCGTTGGCAGGATGAAATGGCCCTGGAGATCGCTTTCACCAAAACATGAATATACTTAACATCACCGAACTGTAAACTTGAGAATGAAGGTGGCTCGGGGCACACAACCTCGGGCTCCTGGGGCCCACAACGTTGCTCTGCAGGAATTCTATCTCGGAGTCAGGCTCTGTGTGCCCCTGGCCTTGCCCCCTGGAGCCCGAAGGAGCAGGTTGGGTCCTCCCAGGGGATGCACACGTGGCCGGGAATGCCTTTGGTGTAGCTGCATGGACATCGCTGGGGAAGGAATGTGGCCGGGAGCCAGCTGGAACACTGAAGGTGGAGCCCTGTCTAACCTGGTCGCAGCGGTGTCACCCAGAGCCCGGCACAGGGCCTGGTGTCACAGCAGGTGCTCGGGACAGTGGTGCTGGGTGTGTGAGGAAGGGAGGGAGGGCATGAGAGAGGGCACGGCAGGCAGGCTGGGGGGAAGAACCATCAGCGGGTGTGATGGAGCAGGCATCAGGCTCTGGGACAGGGGAGGGGACAGTGAGGGGACAGGAGCTGAGACTGGCAAGGATGGGGAGGGAGAGTCAGGATATTTGAACAGAAGGCTTTTCTCCTGTTACAGAGGATCAGTGAAGCAAGGTGTAATCCCCCCCACCCACAAACACACCGTCCAACTCTGCAGTAAGAGACTTCTAGAACATTCCGGGTCAGGGAAAATGATACAATAGGTTAAGTGCAAAAAAAAAAAAAAAAAAAAAAAGGTTTAAAAGAGGGATTATGGTATGAAGCAAACCATGAGTGAGAAATCATATCTACATAAATAAGCATTGAAAACAGCAGCTGGGAGTTGAGGGGGCCTGGGTGGCTCAGTCGCTTGCGTGTCTGACTCTTGATTTTGGCTCAGGTCATGGTCTCGGGGTCGTGGGGTCGAGTCCCACCAAGGGCTCAACAGGGAGTCGCTTGAGAACTCTCTCCCTCTCCCTCTGCCCCTCCCCCGACACATGCCTGAGCACATGCTCTCTCTCGCTCTCAAGTTAATTAATTAATTTAATTTACTTTTAAAAAGAGAGAAAAGCAGCTGGAAGGACACACCTCAAATGTCAGTGGTTAGCTTTCTCTGAGTGGTGGGAGTTTTCTTTCTTATTTATTATGGGGAATTTATTTCCTTCTTTGTGCTTTTACTTATCTTTTGAATGTTCTAAACCATCTCGTATCCCTTTTTTTTTAGAAGGGAGGATCTCTAGGTGAAAGGGCAGAGAGTTCTGTAGCAATTGGGGCTGGGAAAATCCCCCTCACCCTGGGGAGGCCCCACATCACATGGGCCCAAATGATTGGAAGGGGCCTCAAAAGGGATGTAAGAGAAGCAGATGGGGACGAGGAAGTGGTTTTCCTTCCCTACATCAGGCACACACATGCTGGGGCTGACTTCTCTTCTGAAGGCCTGACCCCCACCGTGGAGAGGGGCAGTGGGAGTCCGGGAGATAAGAGCTCAGGGTGGCCATGCACCAGCTTCCAAAACACTGCCTCCTCCCCTAAGGCTGGACATAGATCCCCCTGAGAACCATCTGCTAGAGTCAGAAAGTTCTAGAACAAGAAGGAAATGTAAGGCTCACACTCCAATGCAGGCAGAAATCTGAGCTCCTTTGGGTGACAGCTGGGTCTCCAGCCAGCAACAAGAAGGTCCCATCTATTTTATTTATTTATTTGACAGAGATACACAGCGAGAGAGAGAGCACAAGCAGGGGGAGCGGCAGGCAGAGGGAGAAGCAGGCTCCCTGCTGAGCTGGGAGCCCGATGTGGGGCTCCATCCCAGGATACCAGGATCATGACCTGAACCGAAGGCAGACGCTTAACGACTGAGCCACCCAGACGCCCCTCTGTTCTCTCTTTTAATTTAAGCCCAGAGGAGAGCAAGTAGGCCCCAGGATGTCCACAGCATCTGGGGTGCCCTTGTGGTGGGAGATATTAAACAATACGTTAATTTAACAAATATGACCGTGTGCCTTCTCGGGTTCCTCCCTGGTCTTGAGGAGTAGCCCAGGCTAGCAGGGAAACAGGCAAGGAAACAGGTGGGGACAATCAGCAGGGAAAAGGGCCTGATGGTGTGTGCAGAGGGGTGCAGCCACGAAGGGCTCCCCAGTTGCTTTGAGGGAGCAGGAGAAGGAGCCAGAGGGAAAGAAGTCCAAGGGCCCTGAAGCCCGCCAGGAGTGAGCCAGTGAGAGAAGGCAGAGAAGGTGCCCCAGGGGCCTAGAGCAAACGCAGAAGGGGAGACTGAAGGTATAGATCCCCCAGGTCGTAGGAAGTTGGGATCAGCAGTTGTCCTATGTATAACAATGGGCAGGGGGTGGGCGGGACTGGTAATGGAGAGACCTGGACTTTTGAGGGTGTGGGAGGTCATGATAGGTTTTTATTTTTGCTTTTTTTAAGATTTTATTTTATTTGACAGAGAGAGATCACAGGTAGGCAGAGAGGCAGACAGAGAGAGAGGGGGAAGCAGGTTCCCCGCTGAGCAGAGAACCTGATGTGGGGCTCAATCCCAGGACCGTGAGACCACGACCCAAGCCAAAGGCAGAGGCTTAACCCACTGAGCCACCCAGGCGCCCCCATGGAAGGGTTTTAAACAGAAGAAGGTGATGGTTTCACAGACTACCTTCTAGGGACCCCCCTCCCACATAGCGGAGATGCCCCCTCTGGGGTCTGGCCTTTAGGGCCAGCCAGGATGTGTGGACTGAGGGTACGGGTGTGATGGCCATTCTGGGGAACAAGGACACAGAGCCTCAAAAACGAGAGGGTGTGCTGGCCCACCCTCCAGCTAGCCAGGGATTGACTCACATTTGACCCGTCTGCAAACCATCCTCCAGGTCAGCAGCGAGCTGCCCCCCAGCAGAAGCAGCAGAAGTGCCAACAAGGAGAGGAGAACTTGGAGCCTAGAGGGGGACACAGGGCAGTGTTGAGCAGATGGGAGCTTGCCGTGCCCCCCTCATTTGCAATAGATGATAAGATCACATTTCAAAAAAAGAGATAGAGTGTATAGTCTCCTTTCTACACACATGCAGTATACTTAAGAACCTTCCGGAGGCTCTTTCCCAGATACAAGAAAATAGAAATGTACATTATCTTCCTTCTTCATTCACACAAAGGAGGCATAAGCCAGCACTGTATTTCTATTTGCCAGTACATGGGGGACATCTCTCCATATCCGTGCATAAAGAAGACCCCCACTCTTTTTCACAGCTGCATACTATTCCATGGCATGCATACTACTCCAGACCGTCATTTATTTAATTCTTCCCTCTTACTCGGCATTTCCCCCAGTCTCCTGCAACTGCAAACATGATTCCAAAAATCCACCTTGTACTTCTGCCATTTCTTTCTTTCTTTTTCTTTTTTCGGGATTTATTTATTTATTTTGAGAGAGCACAAGACTCTCAGGCAGACTCTTTGCTGAGCGTGGAGCCGGACGGACACAGGGCTCGATGCCACAACTCCGAGATCACGACCTGAGCCTGAATCAAGAGTCGGACGCTTCTCCGACTGAGCCACCCAGGCGCCCGGTAGCTCTGTCGTTTCACCCGTGAACAAGCCGCAGCAGATGGGAAGCTGACGTTGGGTCCCTCATGTTGCCAGGCCCCTCTTTTATGTCTAGTTTGCATTCACGATGTTCTAGTCTTTCCCTCAAAGATGCACCTTGGCCCCCACACCCCAAATTGCACAGGATCCAAGCCGCACAAAGCCTAGCTCGGCCCCGTATGTGTATCTGCAGTCAGTTCTGGAAGTGGTGTGTTCGGGGCTTGCATTTCACCTTGTCTGATGTCAAGACTGTCCCTTGGGTTGACAGGAGGCCCGTGGGAGGGCTTCAGGGGGTCATATGATAAGGAATCTGAATGAGGGCGCCTGGGGGGCTCAGTCGGTAGAGCACGAGATTCTTGACAGCAGGGTCATGAGTTTAAGCCCCCACCTTGGTGTAGAAATGATTTTTAAAAAGGAAAAAAATCTGGATGGACTTTGCCCCTGGCTCCTGGAAGGAAGGCTCTAAATCCTTGGGATTTCCCTAATAGTGTGCATGTCTTTGCTATTGGGCCCCTTGGATCAGACTTGAGTTCATGCTAAGAGATGAGGTGAGTCAGGGTTGGGGCTGGTCATCAGAAGGCCTAACCCCATGATTATACAGACTTGGGGCTCTGAGTCAGCCTGAAATTCAGGGAGCAGAGCGGGGCTGGGATTGAGATCATTCATACGGCCAATGACTCAACCAATCACGCCTATGTAAAGGAACCCCAGGAAGAGTTGTGGGCAGCAAAGCTTGGAGGAGCTGCCTGGTTGGTGAGCACATTGATGTCCCAGGAGGGCGACGTGCCCCAACTCCCCTGGGAGTCATCAGGGGAGCTCTGGGCTCAGGACCGACCCTCCTGGACCTCGCCCTGTGTGCCTCTTCTTTGGCTGGTCCTGGTCTTTATCCTTTATGATAAAACCATATTTGTAAGTATAGCGCTTCTTTCTTGGATTCTCTGAGCTATCTAGCCAATCATCAAACCAAAGGGGGTCGTGGGAACCCCCAAATTTATAACCAGTTAGCCAGAAACCTGATGGCCTGGGAATCCCCAAAGTGCTCTGGCCTCCAAAGTCAGGCAGTCTTATGGGGCTGAGCCCCCCCGCCTGCGGGGTCTGTGTAAACTCCAGGTGTCAGTGCCAGAGCTGAATCCCAGGACACTAGGTGGTGACGGGATAAGGAGTCTGAAAACCTCAGAAATGGTTTACACCTGCGCGTGTTTTCCTGGAGAGTCTATAAATGTGGAATTCTCGTGACCCCAAAAAGGTCAAGAATCACAGGTTTGGAAGGAAAAACCCAAGACTCTGGGTCACCTGGGCTGAAGCCCAGCCTGCCTCTCATAGCTACGTGACCCAGTGAATCGCTTAACCTCTCTAAGCACCGCTCCCTACCCCCCCCCCCCCACACACACACTGTCTGCTCCTCTGGACCACGGAGCTGTGCTGGCACAAGGCTCTGGTGGGATGAGAACAGGCACACAGGCAAGTAGCAGGTGCCTGGTATGATCGTCAGCCCTCACTGGATTTCCTCTCTTTCCAGCCCCACCGTGGCCTCTCCCTGGCCTGGAGCAATTCCTGAGGGGAAAGCCCACCTCCAGGATAGGGGACGGGGCGCCTTACCTCAGGCCCTGGCTCGGCGGGAACTCCTCCCCGCTGCCTGCACTGCAGGTGGCTCCCTCGGCGGTCGGGGCAGCGGAGGAGGGCGGGGACGGCGAGGTCGTAATTTTAGCTGTGGTTGTTGACATTTGGGTTACAGTGATGCTGACAGGTGAGGCAGGCGTTGTTGCTGGCGTGGAAACACAAATCAGACCCAGGATAGCTCTCTCAGACTCTCCCTCTACTTGCCAAGACTTTTTTGGTTTGATTTCACACAAAATGCTCACTCAGGGTGGAAGCAGGATGGAGAACTCCAGGGGCCAAAGTCTCCCCAGGGCTCTCCTGAGCCAAGTGAGCATTTTCAAGTGGGACACGGGCACTGCTTGTCCCCAGTAGTCCTGATTCCATCCTGCAAAGGAGGGTCATGACCTCGGGAGAGCTCCAGGTCATCCCTGCACTTGAGCCTTGTCCCCATCCTGCCACAGCCACAGGCCGTCTGCCTGAGACCTCTGTCTAACCTGCAAATCTGCCCCTCCCAGCTGGAGCTCCTGCTGCTCCCAGCACCTCTCCCGCCCTGGGGACGCCTGTCTCTCCTTCCCGCAGCATGGCTCTCCGTGTCCGCAGGGCTGGCACCAGCGCTCTCCCTCTCTTCTTTGCACACCTTGCCTTCTCGAGACTGAGCAGAGAGGCCAGCTCCTCCAGGAAACCTCCCTGACTCTCTTTCTCTCTCCTCCTACTACCTGCCCTACACACGCATGTGCAGGTGTGTGTGTGCGCGCGCACACACACACACACACACACACACATATGCTCATAGTTTGCTCCAAGCCTCTGACCTGATTCCTGCTTCAGCCATTCCAACCTGAGGCCCTTCAGGCAGTCCTGGTGCAGGTGCTGGCGCTGGGGGAGGGGTGTGCACAGCTCACCTGGGGTCACAGACAGCACAACTTGGAAGGTGTCGTCGAACAAATATCCTGGGAGCAGTGATGAATCGATCCCGCACAGGTACATCCCGGCATCATCCTCTGTGAGACTCTCCAAGGTCACTGTGAAGGTGAGGTTTGCAGGATGGTCCCTGATGGACACACGGCCCTTCCTCACTTCTCTGTCTGTCCCTTTGGTCTTTACGATCTTCCACACACACAGACTTTTGCACCAGTACTTGGCATTCTCTGTGAATTCCTCCTCGTACTGACACTGCACGCTCACGGATCCCCCCATGGTGCCCGTCACGGAGGTGGGGCCACTCAGAGACCAACAACCTGGAAAACACAGCCGAGGGTGACCCCTTACCAGATGGGCCTGGGTTGCAGCACCCCTGGAGTCACCCCCCAAAGTTGCCCCATCTCACATTGGTCACCCCCTCCTCTTCTTTTCTGTCATGCCCAAAGTTTTTTTTTGTTGTTGTTGTTGTTTTTATCACAGCAGCCCCTTCCTCCACACTCCAGCCTCCTTTCTGGCTGCTCAGGGTCACGAAATCTTATCCCAGCAAACCCCAGCTGAACAAGCGATTTGAAGTCAGGAGAGGAACACACACATATACACCCTGCCCAGGAGGAAAGAAAGAGTAAGGTCAGCGTAGAAATTAGTGAATTAAGAAACAGAAGAACGTAGAATTAGCATATAGGAAAACTGATTTTTCATATGGGAGAGACAAACATTCGGAGAGTAGCCAAATCAAGAAAACACAGGAGACACACACACACACACAACCCATAAGAAAAATAGCCAGGGTTATTTGTAAGCCTCTACCAATAAGTCTGTAAACTTATATGAAACTGATGGTTTTCTATATTTAGAAAAATATAAATTACTGATATTGGCCCAGAATACTTATCTTTTTAATGCAGACCTGTGAAGATGTGTGTTAGCAAGGAGACTTTTCCTGGTGATAAGTCTGTAAGGTGCCATGTATATCAAAATACCACACTGGGGCACCTGGGTGGCTCAATGGGTTAAAGCCTCTGACTTTGGCTCAGGTCATGGTCTCAGGGTCCTGGGATTGAGCCCCGCATCGGGCTCTCTGCTCAGCGGGGAGCCTGCTTCCCCCTCTCTCTCTGCCTGCCTCTCTGCCTACTTGTGAGCTCTCTCTCTCTGTCAAATAAATAAATAAAATCTTAAAAAAAAACAAAAAATCACATTGTACATGATAAATATACACAATTTTTATTTGGTACTTAAAGCTCAATAAAGTTGAGAGGAAATGGAAAAAAAAAAAAGTTCTTTGTCTTCCCCCAAACCAAAAAAGAGTAAAACTCAGAGAGTTTTGTAAATCAGTTCCCTCAAACCTTCAAGGAACAAACAATTCCAATTGCATTCACACATTTGTAGAGAATATAGAAGCAGGAAAACCTCCCTAATTCCCCTCATGAAGGTAGCGTGATACACTGAGACTAAAATCTGGCTCAAATTTCTTAATATAATTCACTGTCTTAATAGTCCAAAGAAGAAAAAATAATCATCTTCACAGATAATGAAAAAGCTTCCTACACCCATTGCTACAGTTTGTTAAGAGACACAAGTGGACGCCTTCTTCAGGCTTCATGGGAACCACTGGGCAGCTGCCCTCAGCAGGGACAAGGCGGAGATGGTCCCTGCCACCTCCGTCCTGGGTATCATTCGGCCGTACGAGCCTGTGGCCGATGAGAGAAACAAACGAAACAAACGGATATCCAGAAGGAACCACAAACTCCCACTACAGACAGATCCCATGAAACACAAAGACACCCCAGAGGGTAAGGGACAGACTAGCCATGCTGGGGTGACAGCTTCCAAATTACTATACAAAAGGAAGAGCGTTCCCATGGACAACTAGTTAGCAGATAGAGTCAGAGAAAACATACCATTTATCATCGAAACAACCAAAATGATTTGAGTATCCCGGGGATAGACCTGACGAGGTTGTGCCCGCCTGTGTGCGGCAAGCTCCTGAGAGACACAGAAGCCAGACCCCCAGAAGCAGGGAGCCCTCTGCTCCCTGGAGAAGCTCTCCTCCCTCCCCTCCCCACAGCTTGTCTGCCCTCCCCTTCGTCCCCACCGCCTTCTTCTCTGCTCTGTCCCCATCTCCCGGCTGTGGGAGAGCCAGATCCCTCAAGCTACCTTGGCTACACGCCTCCGTGTCCCTGACACCGTGGCCTGCCCCTGCCAGTCCCCAGCCCTCCCACACCCTGCACCAGACACACCCCCCTCCCCATGGTGGGCTCAGTGGCCACTCTCCCACCCACTCCGCTGTCACCTGCTCTCACCTCCTTCTCCTGTAATAATTCATCCAAAACTTCCCACAAAGCCCCTCTGGGCACCCTGCTGTGGCTCAAGGAAGGTGGGGCGGATGGCCTGAGCCATGTCTGGCCCCTCCAGGGTGCAGTCCTTCCATCTGTCCACATCTGTGCTGGACAGACTGCACCCTGCTCCGAGGTCGGACCTGCCGCTGCCTCCCCAGCAGCCCTGCTCCCCAACCCCCCCTCCCCAGGGCAGGCTCAGTCTGGGCAGCCCCTCACCTGGGACCCAGAGAAGCAGCAGAGCCCAGGACAGCCACGGGATCCGGGCCCGCTGGGTCATCTCTCTGGCACAGACGTCACCTGTAGCACTGCCTTCAGGCCTCTTCGAGGAGGAGGGTCAAGTCTTCAAGCCTCCCACTTCTGCTTTTCCTTGTCCCTGCTGCTTCCTGGTTTAGTACCTTTAGGCTCTGCTCCTAGAGCTGTCAGAAAATGAAGGACACCGAGGGAATAAAGCCTCCATGGACGATGGTAAGCTGAGACCCCCCAGTACCCACGCACCCTCCTACCCATCCCACCTGTGTCCCAGATGCCACAAGCATTTCCAGTGCCAGGACCCCCGCTCCCCTACAGGGCTGCGAGCCTGCGCCCCACCCCCCTCCATCACACCCCAAGACCACAAGGCCTGGTTTCCTTCCTCTGGGCCCAGTAATTCCTCTGGTTTCCTTGTGGTCAGGGTGAGCACCCAGTGGGGCGGAGCCAGGGCCAGCATCCTCCTCCAGCCCTGGGGGCACCCACAGTGAGGCCGCCCCAGGGAGCTCCCCTTCTAGTAGCTCCCAGCTCAAGAACCAGACCTCTTAAGCTGGCATGGTGACTTCAGAGTCCCTGAATGTTTCTTACTCTTGGAAACGTGTCCTCAGGCTGTGACCTTCCTTCCTCTGCAGCCCCTAGTGGTCCCAGCTCGGAGTTGGGCACAGAGTGGGGACTTAGCAAGCTTACAAGGACCCCTGTGCCCTGATCCACCGAGAGTTCAGACTCTAAATATGCACACACACACACACACACACACACACACATCTCCCGTGACAAGTGCACAGCTTGCACAGAATGGCTATATGAGCAGAGGAAACCAACCCTAACGTGTGACATGTCATCTGGGTGCTTACGGTTACACGTGTCGCCTGCAGGGAGCCCTGCACTAGCTCTGAAGTCCCAAGAATGTCCTTTCCCTGCTTCCTAAAGGATTTTCACTTTCCTCCTCCCTTCTGGCCACAGGAGCACCTTCCCCGGGAAGGCGCAAGGGAACCCAGAAGACTTGCCCATTCTCCTCTGGAAGATTCCAAGCACAGAGTTAGGTAGGCATCGGAAGAATTTCTAAGGCACAGTACAGTCATCGTTTAATCAAAGCTCATGGAGATCCAAGATCAAGATCTTGAGCGGAACAGGAGACTGTGGGAGAGGGGTCATACTTGGTGGTTTGCTTGGTCTAGTAATTATAAAGTTTCCCCAGAAGTGCATATTTTCCAGTTCAACCACCCAAAGGCACTGCTGTGGTCTTGAATGTCAAGGTTTAGAGGGGGACGCACTCAGACTGAGAAGCAGGAGGCTAGGATCTCCTGTGGCTTGTCCACTTGGCACTGGTACAACCGTGGGTAAATTCTGTGGCTCCTTCAAGGTGTCAACAATCACAGCCAATCTGGGGAAATAAACAGTATAATAATCATAAAAGTACTCAAAGGTGAGGTAACAGTGTCACCTGGAAATACATCTTTAAAGGAAGGCAATAGGGGGGCACCTGGTTGGCTCAGTGAGTTAAGAGTCTAACTCTTGATCTGGGCTCAGATCTCAGGGTCGTGAGTTTAAGCCCCACACTGGGCTCCATGCTGGGTGTGAAGCCTAATTAATAAATATAAAAAATAAGTCACAAATAAAATAAATTTTTTTAAAGATTTTATTTATTTATTTGACAGACAGAGATCACAAGTAGGCAGAGAGGCAGGCAGGGAGAGGAAGGGAAGCAGGCTCCCTGCCAAGCAGAGAGCCTGACGTGGGGCTCGATCCCAGGACCCTGGAATCATGACCTGAGCCGAAGGCAGAGGCTTTAACCCACTGAGCCACCCAGGCATCCCCAAAATTTTTTAAAATTAAAAAAAAAAAGAAAAAGAAAGCAAAACAATAGGAAAATAAGATTCACTAGGGAGTGTGGGCTTCACAAGTAATTTGTGGGAGGAGGTTCCTCTTAGGAGCCCAAGGAAACACCTGGACTCCTGGAGGGGGAAGGGCAGCGGACTTGATCCTGCTGGCCCCATCCTGTCCACAAACACCGAGGAAGAAACGAAATGAGACAAATTGTCCCGTGATGGGGCATCTGAGTGGCACAGTCGGTTAAGTGCCCGACCTCAGGTCATGACCTCAGGATCTCAAGATTGAGCCCCGCGTCAGATTCCGTGCTCTGCATGGAGTCGCCTTGAGACTCTCTCTCCCTCTCCCTCTGCTCCACCACCTGCTCTCCCTCTCTCTAAAATAAACAAATAAAATATATATATTTTTAAATTGCCCCATGCTGTCAGAAGATTAGGGAAGTGACACTTTCCGCCTACTCCGTAACAACTACTAGTGGGCATGATTTAGGGGAAGACGAAGCCTGAGAACCACAGGCCTAGGGATCATCGGGTTCGGAGCTCCTTCCCAGGGTGGACACACGTGCTCGGAGGCCAGCGGGGACAGGGGTGGACAGTGCTGGATGGGGGCTCCCTGGGTAGACCCAGTCGCAGCAGCAGGCGCTGCCTGGAGTCCTGAGAACGGTAGGCGCCTCAGAAAAGATCAGGGGGTGGGGATAGCTGTGCGGCCATTCAGCCAGAACTTCCCTTTCCAAGGTGGCACAATCTCAGAGCTGCCCTCTCTCCTGGGCAGTCGATGGCTCCCCATCACTCTGCCTTTTCCTTTCTGGAGATCTAGGCCCCTCCCCCACTGTGGGTGTCCCTCAGGTGTGGCCAAAAGCCAAGAGGCTGGGCACTGAGGAATGACCAGCAGGAAGTGGCGGCATGACCGGCTGGCTGGGGAAGTTTGCTGACCGCTGGGAAAGTTTGCTGACCTTTGGGTGAGTCCGTAATGAGGCGGGAGGGGGGAACCAGCTCCTGCGCCAGATGCTTTGTTTCCGGGGGCTGATATCTTCGGGATCCCTGGAGTAAAAAGGATAACCGTGAATGAGAAGCAGTGGGGGAAGGGCAGCTGGGAAGGAGGACAGAGCCCCGGAAGTGTCTGGTTTCCCAGTCTGGCCCAGCCTGCCTCTCCGTTGGACTCCCCAGGACTGCCCGCATCCCACCCTCCTGCCCATGTCAAGGGAACCTACTCCAACACGGCCAGACCTTCTAGGGGCCCAGGCAAGCATGACCAACCCACATTCCAGTGCATTCCATAGTCCCAGGGACACAGTCTACAACCAGCGGGGTCATGGTCTATAACACACTCTCTGGTTTGGCCCCAGGCATGCTGTGTTCTAGACTGAGAGGACACTGTGGGTGAGCAGATGGGGGTAGGACTGGCCAGAGGCCTGAGAGCACTCTCTGTCCCCCAGAGGGCTCCTGTGCACAGAGCCACAGCTCCATGCAGGCCCTGCCCCCCTCACAGGCGTCCACACCCCAGAGAGAGGACCGGGACAGAGACCTGGTCTCATGGGGGCCTGCAGAGCTCAGCAGGGGCCTCCACCGGGGACCTGCTCCAGGGTCTACGTGGAGGGGTAGCCCTGAGGGGCAGCCCTGGGGGGCTCCTCAGAGTCCCAGTCACAGTAGCAAGAAGGGCGTAAGTGACTCTTCAAGGTCATTCCTTCCCCTTCAGCCTCCTCCACGACCCCCTCCTCACTCACTCAGGGCTGCACTCAAGCCACCCCCTCAGAAGACACGCCTGCCTCCTCCAGGCCCCGCTGAGCCCCCTCCCGTGTCGCTGTCCCCTGCAATGTGTTTCTGTGTTTTGCTCACCCATACCAGGGGTTGCTGAGCGCCCTCCTTTTCACGGTAAGACTCCATGAAAGCAGGGACCACACAGGCCCCTGCCGCCCCAGGCTCACGTGCTCACCACACCACGCGGCCCAGAGAAGGGCAACCCGAACCGGGGATAGATACAGAGAAGCCAGGCTGTCAACGTCTCTCTCGTCCTCTTGCCAAACTCCATCCTCAGGAGGAAGAAAGGCAATAGAACTTAAAACCGTGCAAGCACGGTAAGATCCATCCAGCAGAGCGCTTAGGATCTGTGCTCTTACCCTAAGCTACTGCTCAGCAGAGCCGAGGTCCGAGCAGAGGCCCGCAGCCCGCACACCCAGCGGGGGAGGCAGGGGCAGCACCCAGCGCTCATGGGCCGTCCTCTCCCCACACCCCAGGGACCACCAAGTGGCCAGACGTGCAGGGGCAGCTTCTGGCCAGTGCTGACCTCCCAGGTCTCCTGAATCACAGCTGATAACCTGGGAGGTGGGTGAGGGGAGCCAGCCCTGGAGGCCCCGTGGCTGGGACGTGTGGTCAGCGCAGCAAGGAAGTCCGGCCTTTGTGGCCTGGCCCTGAGCGGCCTTCCAGTGGCAAGTGCGGCCCCAATGAGTTGTCAGTGCTTCCTTCTGTGAAATGGGAGCAGCGCCGACGCCGGTCCTGCCCCGCCCCCCGAGGGAGGCTCCCCAGGACAACAGAGACTCCAATGCACCTGCCCGGCCTCTGGGCTGCTGTTGATTGAACTCACGCCCTGAAATGTGCTCGCCTCTGCCCCCACACTCAGAGAGATGAGATGACTTACTTGCAAGGACCCCACTTTCGTCCACCATACCATGCCTCTCCAGTGAGTGACTGCTCAGGGCAGGGAGAGAGGGGTTCTAGAAGGCAGTGGAGGGCACCAAACTGCTGTCTCAGAAGTGTGATGGGGAAGGGGATGTTGGGCAATTGTGGCCGACAAATGGATGGACTTGCCCGGGAGTCTTCGTTCCCCCGCCTCCCCATCACCACCTTCTGCTTCCTTCTCCTCCCTCCACCCAAGGGCCGCCCCAGACCTCTTCCTCTGTAGAACGATGCCAGACAAACAGAACACAGTCCCTGTGGGCTTTCGCCCCGGTCCTGACAGGGAATGGGGTCGAACCAGCAAATGGTCAGTTCAAACACTTCTAATATTGGCTTCAGGAAACACAGTTGGCCTTGAGCTTGACTTTGTGAGTTTGTGACACTCTGGGAACGACCCCACCTCAGGAAGGTCAGCAGCTTCCTCAAACACACACACACATACCCCTATAACCTCCTTGACCCCACTGCTTATCTGTCCCAGGACCTACAGCAATCTTCCCACAGACATTTCCAGAAGCTGGCAGAATGC